AATTTTCCAGCTTTTCAACAACAGTTGCATTTCGAGTGGTTCGTCATCATCCATATGCTAGTCACTCTCTACCGACGTGCAGTCATTCTTTTGATTCGGTTAAAACCTCTTCTTAATTTGTGTGACCCCTATTGCACCGTCACGAAACACTTGTAGACAGAATCTTACAACTTGTGTCACTTAGAAAATCAACAAGCTTTTAACAAAAAAATTTATACAGAACCTCTGATCAAGTTGTTTATTTATCTTTTGGGTAGGGGGATTTGTTTGTGTGCTTATGACACGAAGAAAGTGAAGACTTATAACTTATTTTGTCTATAATTGTTCTTATGGGCTACGTTTTCTTCTACGACACTTTCTAACTAACGGGCGTTTAGGAGTTCTCTTTATCGTGCCCATCATCAGTGGATTTGCTTGTTTCACACATTTTCTGAAAAGGGCAATGTTTAAACAATTATGCTTTCTTATATATTTATGTATCAGTATATATTATTTAAATAAATGTCAATTAGTCGAATTATTGTTAACTATTTATACATAAATTACTTATATAGATCATATAATATATACGTTTATATGATACTTACTTACTACATCACAGCAATGCCAACGCTCAAGATAACTCGCCAATTTGCAACCCTGATTTTCCACGTGTCGTACGCTATGAGTTAAGGCCGTATCACACGTATACATTTCAATCAATGTTTCGTCCAATTCGAGGAATTTTTACTCAGTTGCCATAGCAACCGCTTTTTCCCATTTATTACGTAATATTTAAAAGCATCTTTTTAAGTAAATATTTTCTTGATAATTTAATTTCGAGTTAACTATGTTTGTGTATACTTTAGTTTCATAATTTTTCAATTCCTACTATTAGCTCACATACTCTATATGTTTATTTATTTATCTTGGTGGAATTTTAAATCGTTAATAAAATGTATTTTAATGCTCTCAAGTGAGCTGGAATTTTATATACTTGATTATTTTGGATGACAATACAATAATTTAATTATAATTAATAAAAATTAATTGATTAAAACTAATTATTTAAAGAATTACAAATACAATCATGTTGGTATCATTTTTGGCGACTTAATAATCCTTTTGGTGACTTGTGTCAAAACTTAAAAAGGTTTTTTTCTCACGTTTTAAAACATTAAGTTGAACTGAAATTTTATATACGCGATTGTTTTGGATGACAATTCGATAATTTAATGATAATTAATAAAAATTAATTACCACTTAATGTTGTGATTCTGTCATTTGTTATACATATTTATATGAATTGTAACTATTTAATAAAAAGTAGCTAAAATAAAGTTTTCTTTGTTGATCTAAGTAGGAATTGACTAATTTTTTTTATATTTCTTGTTAAATAATATTTAAAAGCATCTTTTTAAGTAAATATTTTCTTGAAAATTCAATTTCGAGTTAACTATGCTTGTTGATTCTCTAGTTTCTTAATTTTTACTTCTATTCTTCATATGCTGACACAATTGCCTGATTAAGGTCAAAAATCTAATTTATCACTATGGAACAAAAAAATCAAATCAAAATTATCAATCAAAATTATTTTTACAAAGACATAAAAGCATATCCTTTTCGGTGAAAATACCTTCCCTTCCTGAAATCTCTTAGCCGAATTTCTATTTTTAGAAGTTAATCCAGTGCAGAAATGATTGATCTTGAAGCAAAGATGAACCATATTACATTTCAACTCAGTTGGTGCGTTTCAAAAGGGATATTTCCGATCGATAGAGTTTGCTACTTTGAGGAAACCAAATGAAAATAATTGCAACCAAGTCACCCAGCTTTTCTATCGCTTATTAAGAGTTTCACTCTTCCATGAATTTTCTTTTTCTTTTAAATACTAATTTTGTAAAGACGAAACACAGTTTCGTCATTTATGAAGGGTATCTGGAATATTTCTTTTTCCGAAGATATAGAAAATACTTCTAATTTGGGAAAACTTCGAAAATTCCATTTCGATTTTTCTCATTTAAGATCGCCGAATTCTAGGTTTGTATTTTTCTTCCATGAGAAAATCTGTGATAAATTTCGTATAAAGCTCTATATTTGTTAAGTCTCTATATTGTCTAAAAAAGTAATTATTGTTTTTTTTTATGCAAGTTATACATTCTATTAAAAAACTATATTTCTATATATATCATTATATCGTTCAAAGTTCCATCTTCACTGAAAATTATCTCTATGATTTAACTTAGTATATATCAATTGTGTATGATATTATAGAATGTGCACTTAAAGTACACTATTAATAGAGGTAGTCAGAATTTTTTTTCTGATAAAACACGGATTTTTTTAACATATTAAATACATTAGAATGAGTAAATGTTTGTGTATTGCGTATCGCTAATTCTTAATTAAAGTACAAAATTATTCCATTAAAGTATATTCCATTTCTCGTTTTACTGTTGCAATCTGGATTTAGAATAACAACCGAGATGAACTTTCAGCCAAATTTCATTGTTGTTAGTGTTCAATCTTCTGTCACTTTTTTATTACCTAAAGTCACTTTATTTCTTGCTTGACTTTGAAATAATAAAATTTAATTCCACAGTAAGAAATGAGTAGGAAATATTAAAAACACAATACCTAATTCAAGCAGTTGTGGGGGGGAATGAATATAAATCTAAATATAAAATGAAATATAACCGTAACCCCCAAAACTTAATGAAATATTGTATAAAATCAAAGTTTGGTGAGTTAAATATTCGAGCTGCTGTTAAGAATAATGTTATTTAAAAAATAATCTCATGTATACTTAGAAGATTCTGCTTCATTATTAGAAATTTTTTGTTAATTCATACTAGGAAACATACATTTTCTAAAAAATATAAAAATAACAAGATACAGATTTTATCACAAATAATAGCTGAACTTATAATTTGTAAACATCTCTAACCGTATCTCATAACAAGTAACAAACAAAAATTATCAATTCTTAATTAGGTCAACAAAAATTTCTTATTCTAATTATTTTTATTAAATAGTTACAATTAAAACAAATATGTATATACATATGACACAATCACAATATTAAGGTACAAAATAGAAAGCGAATTTTCTTCTCATTTTCCTTTCTATATATACAGTGGTGGCAAAAAGTCCTGAACACACTCCTTTTTTTGCGTAATTTTCGTGTTTGACTTCATTTTTTGTTATGAAATTATCACACTATCTTAAATAGTGTTATTGATTTTAATGCATTTTTTCACGCTGATTTCAAATCTGTTTGTAGATTTCATCTAAAGTAAACAGTTTCATTGATATGTTGAAAAAACCTTGACAACAAGGCACAAGGTCACTATAAGAATAAGTCAGTTTGTTTTCCACCAATGAAATGCTCCGTTATTTCAACTAATCAGATAGCAGTAGCGATAAAGGGTCGACAGAAAAAGGTGAAACCTGTTTTATTGTATTGAATGCAGTTGTGTGCTTGTGGAAAATAGTGTATTGAGAGCAATTTGAAGTGCGTTTGTGGAAAGTTTTGGAATTATGGCTAAATTTTCATACCTACCTGAGAATAAAAGGTACAAAATAATACATTTGAAGGAAGAAAATTATTCTACGCACCAAATTGCTGCTAAAGTACCATGTGGTCTTTCTACTGTTGTGAGAACTTTGAAAAGATTTTCTGAAACAAATTTTATTGTGGACAGGGGGCGATCAGGACGACCAAGAAATCATCTTATTATTGCACAGAATTTCACTTTCAAACAGAAAGCTTAATTCTTCGCAAATTTTGAAACAATGGACTTTGACATCAAATGTGAGTGAATGTCCAAGAACTGTTAGAGGAAGAGTGCAGGAAATTGGGTTACGAAGCTGTAAAGCGAGCCCAAAACCATTACTGACTGAATTTCAACGCAACAGGTGATTGACTTTGGCAAGGAAACATTCATTATGGACTATTAAAGACTGGGAAAAGGTAATATTTAGTGACGAGAGTCAGTTTTATATTTCTGGCAACCAAAGTAGTGCCTATGTAAAACGACGCACTCATGAGGAATTCAGCTTTCCATGTCTGAAGCCCACAGTAAAGTACCCGACAAAAGTGATGGTATGGGGTTGCATGGCTTCTCATGGTGTTGGAAAACTTCACATCGTTAGCGGAAAAGTGAAAGTCATGGATTATATTTAAATACTACAAAATAAATTGCTACCAACTGCAAGAAATCTTTTTGGGAATCTGTCATGGATTTTTAAGGACGATAACGCCCCTTGTCATCGTACAAAGGTAATCCAGAAATAGTTGAAAGACCATACTGTGAATAGAACGAACTGTCCAGGACAGTCTTCCGACCTTAATCTGATAGAGAACTTATGGTTTAAAATTGGTTATGAGATTTCAAAGAAAAAAACCTTCAAACAAACGAGAATTAGTCGAAGCTTTAATATTTTCCTTCAACCATATTGCAACGAAAGATCTTTTGAAATTGTTGCATTCCATGCCAAAAAGATGTAGAGCCGTAATTAAAGCAAACGGTTGGCCCATAAAATATTGATTTTCTAACATGTGACAACAATGTAATTTTCAAAATGCTTAAATATATATATATATATATATATATATATATATATATATTAAATATATATGTATTAAATATACCGTATTTGTCAATTTTCATGTTATTTTTCTTTGCATATTATGTTATTCTATATTGTTTTATTCTGCACATATTTCACATTGTTGTGTTCAGGCAGCTTTACTGCAAAAAATATTTTAGTTATTAAGAAAATAGTAGTAAATATGAAATCAGCATAACAAAATACATTAAAATCAATAACAATATTTAAGATAATACGATAATTTCACAACGAAAAATGAAGTCAAACACAAAAATGAGTGTGTTCAGGACTTTTTGCTACCACTGTAATGTTGGACTATTTTTTTTGTTACTACCCCTTCATTCATTAAGTTTAGTCATTCATAAATTAGTATAGCAAAAAAGAAAACACATTCTCAGAAATTATACCATCCCACGTGGGATTCGTACTCACGACCTTTGGATGAGAAGTCCAACACGCGCGCGCGCGCTATCCATTGCGCTACATCCATTGCGCTACAGGCACACAGCGAAATATTTTTATTTCTATATATGCTGTTGAACTATTATTCTTGCTTGTTACTTTTTATTCATTTTTTAATTTAATTAACGAATTAATATTTGAAAAAATGTATTGGCATCAAGTGTCATCCACTACAAGATTAAAAAAATGTATTTGAGCTTGAATGGATGAATAGAAAGTATTTTATTAACGATTGAGAATTTTAACAATATATTTATGTAGGGAGAGAGTGAACTAATAGTAGAAATTGAAAAATTATATGCATTTTTATATTTTTTTTAAGTTAATTTGTAAAAAAATCGAGCGATTCAAGTAAAATAGATTTTCATCAACTGAAACCCACAGAACCATTACCTTCTGGAGCCACACAACAGTATGTATAACCTCTGCAGAAATATGCGACAATATTTCTAAGTTGCAAGAAATAGTCCCTGGCTAAATATAAACATGAAGAATTCTTATCGAAAATCGGCAGATCCCATTTGTAAATCCTATTTAGCAATTTCAGGATTTCTGGTGAAGGCCTCTCAAGAAGAGATTAACTTATTGAAGGGAAAATTCTCCTTCTTCTCTACAATTCTGTAGTTTCTTCAGACAATCAACTTTCATATCCTTTATCTCTAAACTTCGCTTTGCAAAGACAGAAATCTGTGAAAAGCCTACGATCAAATAAAGTATTTTCACTATTTCATGGGAATAGATTCTATTTTTATATTGCCAAGTGTATTTTTAGACTTAAGAAGTTTATGATGGGCCCTAGTTGTATGAGTAGGTATTCAAAAATGCTAGACACCATGAAAGTTCAATATTTTATTGAATTATTCAGGTAAATTATACTTATCTAAATCATCGGTATAAAATCTACACTATTAAAATTAGAAGGTAAGCAAGCGTATCTATCTTCGTTTGTTTGTTCGTTTGAATATACGTCTATCTTCTGAAGAACCGCACAACGCAGAAACTTGCTAATGGTACCAAAATATTGGAAATGATCGGAGAAATCAGTTTGTACTATTTATATTTTAATATTGCAATTAGTTAAAATATATTAATTAAAAACATAAAATGCCTAATTGTTTTACTCCTGTTGGTTTTTTATTCCGTCGACTTTCCCCACGATTTAAAAAAAAACCCATCTAATTCTTGTTATCAAAATCAGACAAAAAATAATTACAGAATCGAAAAGATCATTTTCTTCGTCACGATACGGTACATTTATATATATATATATATATATATATATATATATATATATATATATATATATATATATATTTTACAAAGTAATTATATTTTCTTTTTTTTTTGTGATTTTTGTAAAAATGAGTCAAATTTGATATGTTTTTACGAAAATGATTTCCAAATCGTTCCCTTTCAATTTCTTTCACGTTAAGAATTGATATTCTACACTAAAAAAGTTCATGCAATTCTCTTTTAAAATCAATCATTTACAAAATAAAATGCAAAAACTTTTTTGCGATTTTTCAAAAATACTCAAAATATTTATTAAACATTTAACAACTTCATCATTTACAAAAATAAGCTCATGAAACTTTTTTCTGTGTGTAAAACAATATTACCAGTAATCTGTACAAAGATTAAAAAGGATTCTTACAAATTACTATTTAAAAAAAATTGTGTTTTAAATTTAAACCCTTTTTGCGAGAGTTAATCGATGTAGTATTGCTTTTTTTAAATTTTTTGTTCAAAAATTGCCGCAATTTGCATTTGATATGTGAAATTTGGAGGCATTACCTTAAAAAACGCGCTCTTAAAATTGTTTTTAAAATTGGATTGAAATATTCATTTGACGTCAAGGTCGCGTTACCTTATATGATGATTCGCGTTGAGAAATACGATGGTGGAAAGTTTTGCGCATGCGCGAAAGTGGAGGTCACTCTTTTCACGGTTTTTGAAAGATTACGGGAATTCCCTGTTTTATGCTCTATCATCACTTAAGTTATTTGCTATGTAATAGAAATATTTTATTAATTACACATAAGAGATATATATTTTAAAGAGTGCAAGACAACTGATAGTTTTCTTCATTCTCAAGAAAGTTTATTTAAGAAAGTTCATTGAAGAAAAGTGGCATAAAAAACTTTAAAAATTCTGAAATACATTTTAATCACATAGTATATTTTCCTTTTTAGATGAATGTAAATAAATTATAAGCCTTTTTATTCTTAAATATTTTTGATTCCCCACAATTCTACATGCTATTTTTTTAATTTATTCATTTATTTATTTTTTACATATTTTACGATTTCTTCTAAAAAGAATCCAAATCGATCCATTTAAATGAAAAGGAATTTTAAAAAAGTCCATACTTTAATCTTTTAAAATCAGTGATTTAAAAAATAAAAAAATGCCCAAAACTTTTTTTTACTATTTTTTAAAAAATACTCAAAATTTTAATCAAAAATTTAATAACTTTTTCATTTATAAAAATAATAGCATGCAACTTTTCTCCCATGTGTTCAACATTACAAATATGCTAACAATTTTAATTCAACATTTAATATAGTTGTGGAATTTTGTAAATTTAAAAAATTAGACTTTTCTGTCTTTCTTCTAGTCTTATTTTTTTAAAAAAAGTACATTTTCGTTTCCAGCGGCTAAAAAACTGCAAAGTGAGTGAGTGAATTTTAAAGTCGCACTGTTCACCTACTCAAGAGCTTTTGGCGATGTACCTCGAAAATTTGAACCATTGTCAAGTGACGAGGATGACACTTCGAAAAAGAATAACGGAAATGGTGATTTTGTGAAAGGAAGGGAAAATTTATAAAAGTAGAGAAAGCCCTTGCAACGCCAGACTATGTAGCTAATAAATGTATAACTCTTGTTAAACGTGAAATGTTTCTGCTTTTCTAACCCCAAGTATTCCGCACAAAAACGATTTATGCGTGTAAGTAGATGTAAAAGCTACTTAATTATTCACATACACAGATATCTCTTCAGTATATTTTATTAATCAATCAGCTTAAGGGGTGTAGGAAAGCTAAAATCATATTTTTTGACAATTTAAGATTTTTACATTTTCAAATTTTATAGAGATATTTTAACCTTTCTGAAAATACCTTGCTTTAACAGCTAGGGTAATTAGAAGCCCTTAAAATATATTTTAAATAATCGTTGAAACTAGGCCACACCCATTTGAATGGCCAAAAATGTAAATAAAATACTTCGTTTTTGCTTAAAAGTAGAACGTCTGATATAAAAAAACAGACATATTTTATTGAAAATTGTGCAACTATTAATTTGCTTTCTTCTTCCGGCAACTTGAGCAATAAAAGCAACTTCTAATTTTTATTTAAATATGAAGGTCATACTTTATTTATAATCTTAAGGTTCTAAAATATCCATGATTTAAACTTTGTTATAAAAAACCCCTTCATATAAGATACTATATTTAAACACTAATTGGAAAGTTAGCATTATTTACTGTTATCATTTTTAAGGTTTTAAAAATGTGGCTTTGTTTTATGTAACGCAACTTTTTTCTGGAAATATTCTAAAGACGGAAAAATGTAAATTAAACCATTAATTACTTTCCAGTTAGCATTTGGTACTCGTTTTCATTTTAAATTTTCATTTAGTTAAAACTGATTATTTATTTTTGCGAAAAAAGAAGGAAATTTTTAAAAACAATTTATAAACTAAACTTAATTTTCGTAATTCATGCTTTTGTAACATATTTTTACTTTTTATTAGATACAATAGTTAACACGCATTTATTTGCTTGTTTATGGAAGAGCTTACATATTTTTAAGAGTTTCTTACTTATCAGTAATAGCCGGAAAGTATTTGAGATTTTTTCAAAGGCATGAAATATATAATTTATTCAAACTCCATTGTTGCAGACGATAATTATTGCTAGTCTTCTTTATAAAAAGCTACTTGGTGTACATAATATATACATATAATATTTCCTCTTTACTATAAACCATGATTAAATATAAATATAGAAATACCAGAAATATATACCAAATGAGATTAATAGTAATCAATGGTTATCAAAAATATTGTAAATAGTATATTTCATTATTTTAAAAGACTGCAGTTTCATTATTAAAAAATTGATTGTGAAAAAACTATGTAGCAACTTAAAATGTTCTTTTGTTAAAACATTCTCCTAAATTTTATTAATTCCAAATAAAATTTAATTTTTTTCTTAAGATTAAATTAAGTAACAATTTAATCAATTTTACTGCTAATTACAATCAAATTGATCAATTTTACAGCTAATTTAATTTTCAATTCTGCTGGTAAATATACCTAGATCTCATTAGTTTTTCCAGAATTCCCGACATTAAATTACTTTAAATTTTCTAGATTATATTACATTATTCAAAACAAAGATTGATCATCAAAGGAAAAAAGTATGAAAGAAGTATGGATCTCTCTCTTTTCACATTTAAGAATATGCTACAGATTTATGTGTGTAACAAGGTTAAATATATACTGCTGGACAATTGCTAAGGACGGATAACACTATCATTCATAGCAACAACAAAATGAAAGGAAGCAAAATGTGGAAAAATAGAATAAGTGCGGGATATTAGTAAGAAGAAGTATGAGTATGCAAATTTTTTTCCACGTCTGTTCATCACGTGATAGCGTTCATAAGAGCTTTAAAGGTTTTGACGCGTGTGGACAGTTGTTGTTTCAAGTCAAAGTTTTACAGGAAAGATTTAATAGACGAACTTAAAATTTTTGGCATGTCTTCCCGACATCACATAGATGATTTTATGCGTAGCCGAATTATTGGAAAGATCGAAGAAGGGCGAAAAATAACAGATGTTGCCAGGGAGTTCGACATCGCTCACAGTGTTGTTTCACGGTTGTGGAAGTCATTTAAAACTACTGGAATGTGTAGTAGACGGCACGGGGGAGATCGTGTTAGAAGTACGACGCCTGCAGTAGACAGATATATCGTCCTATCAGCAAAAAGGAACAGGCGCACCACAGCTCAGCAGGTGGCA